AATAAACAACAACAAAAAGAATTCTGCTTTAGAGTTTTCAAAACCCTTTCAAGTCCGTTCTCTCACTTGACTTTATAATAGCCAGGTAAAACAGGTATTGTTATCATTTTCCTTTTTTTGATATGGTAGTGACCTTAGAGGATGAAAGACTTGCCCCAATCCCATTAATCCAAGTCTTCTCAAATCTAAATGTTTAAACCCAAATTTGGATCTAGAGTTCAAACTTAGATCTGTCTGGCTGCAATGCCTACACACTCTCTTTATTTTGGGACCCATCTTTGAAACACTTTTGCCATCAAGAAGTATGATGAATTCAAACAATTATTATGCAATACTTCAGAACTCTTCAAAATCCGACTCTATGAGGAGAAACTAGGAGGGTAGAAGAGAAAGTGCGTAAATACAGTATTGCCGAGGTTTTTCTACTACTGAAATAAATGAGAAACAGATTTCATTAAGATCTTAAAATGGATTTTTACTAAAATCTATGCTTCATTAGTAATTGTTATGGTTTGAGTTAGCCCATCTTCCCCCCAAAATGTTGAAGTCCTAGACCCCAGTATGTGACCTTATGGGAAACAGGATGGTTGCACATATCATTCGTTAAGATGAGGTCCTCAATCCAGTCCACCTGGTGTTCTTATAAGACTCCTTATGTCCTTACGTGAAGACATTGGTAGAGAACACACATGATGACAGAGGCAGAAATTGGAGAGATACGGTTGCAAACCAAGGAATGCCAAGGATCAACAGCTATCATCAGAAGTTAGAAAGGGGCAAGAAAGGATTCTACCCAGAGTGTCGGAGAGACCCCAGTCTACCTGACACCTTGATCTCTGACTTCTAGCTTCTAGAACTGTAAGAGAATGAAATTTCTGTTCTTTTAAGCCATGAAGTTGGTGGTGCTTTGTTATAGCAGCCCCAGGAAACTAATACATTAATCGTGGAAATGCAGATTGAAAGAACAAAGAGGGGCCGGCAGGTGGCGTGGTGGATAAGGGCATTGGACTCCCACATGGCTGATCACGGTTCGAGTCTTGGACCTGGTGGCTTGCTTTCTCACTCTCTCTCTCTCTGTGTCTTTCTGGTCAAATTGACAAATAAGATGAATGAATAAATTAAATAATTATTTTTAACAAAGAAAGACATAGCACTTCCTACCCATAAAATTTATATCCACCAAACTTTCTAACTGACTAAATTAATAAGACTAATAATAACATTGCAAATAGTAGTGCGCTGGTAAATATTCAACAACCGTCTCTGATAAAATGATTAAACCACTTTACAATGTATTCTGGTTGGGAAATCGCATTTTGTATGCTGTGATGTTCAGTGAAAGAATGTAAAATAATTTTTTTTAAAAAAAAGGAAAAATAGGGAACCAGCAGTTAGTGTAATGGCTATGTCGCTGGACTCCCACGTAGTTGACCGCGGTTCGCATCCCGGACCCAGTGGCTTAGAACGCCAGGTGCGTGTGCGTGCGTGCCCAAGATCCCGAGAGGAGAGTGGAGGAGAAGGGATTGTGGCGTGACCATCCCTTCTGTCTCTCTCTGTCTGTCTGGCGAGCGCACGCACCCTATAGCAAAGACCTCTCCAAAAAAAAAAAAAAGAAAAATATCACTCTCCAATAGGATATGATCATGCTTCAATCTTTTTTCCTCCATTTCTCCATCACATCAGGATTTCAGGCATGCATACCCATACATCCAGCATGTTTTTGAAATTGTTGTCAGAATTCAAACCATAGTTGTGTAGATGGGTTATGACTCCCTATGAAAAGCTGTGCTACAGGGCTGGCCCAGAATATGATATTCTTAAGTCTTTTATTTTTATTAAATTTTAAGTAGAAAGCAAAAAAGAAAATAATTTTGTATGTCTATGTATATGTATGCTTATACTTATTTGAAATTTTGCTGATATAAAAGATATGCAGCACACAATTTAGAAATAATAGTAAAATATGCAATAGTCTGTTAGTTCTGTATTACCATTGATTCTCATTGGTATCTACATATTTTTGCTAAAATCTTGAATCTGTAGCCAATCTAGATGTAGTTGCGATTGATGAATGAGTATAGTTCTAAAATGAATGTTGGCTGATATTTTAACTTGTGTTAGCAATGGAAAAAAAGGTGAAACAACGAAGCCATATATACAAACTTCACTTTATTCACTTGCCAAAGATGTGAGCTAATAGTTTGCTGAATTGAATAATACACTTTAAATACTGGAAAAATATTTTCTTAAATTTTTGTGTTATTGACAGTGTCACAGTTATGGGTACAGAATACCTTAAGTTTAAACTATATTATTACTATTGTCACCATTATTCTCTGAACTCCGAACAACCAACAAGACAATAAATAAAGCACTGATCTTTTAGTGGTTGGCAACTTCCTTGACTGTTTTAATACTACCACTGTGTTACCAGAGAACACTGATTTGTGAAGAGATGTGTGAAGTAGCACACCATTCTCTGTATAGCAGCTCCACCTTTCAGAGTCAACAGGTATAAATAACCTCCAAAGAATTAAAGATAGTAAACTGTTGTAAAATAATGAGGAAGAGGTGACTTTTGAGGTTTTTTTTTATATCATTTGTTTTTAATACAGTTTATTTCATTGTAATTTTATATAATTAAATTTTTAGTAAAGATTGTGTTTAACAACTGCCTTGCAAACTCCTGGAAATCTAGCAATCAACTCTCATTCATAATGTAAAGTGGGCCCAGCATAAATGCTGGCAAGAATCCAAAAGAAATGGACCTCTCTCTGTTGCTGGTGCTGTGAGATATTTAGTGCAGCTACTCTAGAGTGAAGTTAAAAAGCATGTGGAAACAGCAAAAAGTATGTGGGAAAATGGAATAAAAGGAGGAGTTTATTTTGGTACAAACAAATTCTTAAATCCACACAGCTTTTTCGTAGTATGCTTTTCTATGAACTCTTTGAAGGCCCTCTTACATCTGCTCTACAAGGTAACCTTTTTACCTCTAGAGAATGAGTATAGTTCTAATGAATCTTCTTTTACATGTGAGTACAAGAAGATATGTACTAGGATGTTTATCACAGCATCTTTTTACAATGATTTAAATATTTATCTTTAAAATGACACCCAGAAGCTACCTTTCACTGTATTTTCTATTTGCTTAAATTAATCTCCCCCCCACCCGGCACCAAGAGGTTTTTGCTATAGGGCACATGCACTCACCTGAGAGACAGAAAGCAAGAACCACCACCACCCCCCACCCCCCTACCCTCCCCGCCAGGTGAGATGGCCACACTACAATCCCTTCTCCTCCATTCTTCTCTCAGGATCTTAGGCATACATGCACATGTACCCGGCATGAGTTTAAGCCACTGGGCCCAGGACTTGAACTGCAATCGACTACATGGGAATCCAGCAACATAACCATTACACTATCTGCTGGTCCCAATTTAATCTTTTTTAAAAAAACACATCTTATATATCAAATTGTAAAGCTTCTGCAGAGCAAAGGAATCAATCAACAGAGTGAAGAAACAACCTACAGAATGGGAGAAAATATTTGCAAACCATACACCTGATAAAGGGTTAACATTCAAAATATGTAACAAACTCAAACAACTCAATGGTTAGAAAACAAGTAACCTGATGAAAAACAAAGAACCCAAGTAGAAACTTTTCAAAGGAAAATATATACATGACCAACAAGTATTTGAAAATTTTTAAACATGCTAATTGTTAGAACAATCTAAATGAAAACACAGTGAGATACTCCTAGCACATGTTAAATGGCTGTTATCAAAAGAGATAAAAGGTAAAGGTTGGCAAGAATGTGAAAAAAGGAAACTCTTGTACACTGTTGATGGGAAAATAAATTGGAACAGCCATTATGAAAACAGTACAGAGATTCCTCAAAGTAAATAAGTAAATAAAAATAGAACTATCATAGGATACAGAAATTCCACTTCTGGATTTATACACAAAGAATATGAAGTCAGTATGTCAAAGTGATATCTGTACTTCCACGTTGATTACTACATTATTCATAATAGCCAAGATATGGAATCAACCTAAGAGTTCCTCAATGGATAAGTGTACAAAGAAAATGCAGCACATACACATATACAAATTAGAATACTACTCAGGCTTTAAAAGATATCCTGTGACTTATGACAATGTGTATGAATGCAGAGGACATTGTGCTCAGTGAAATAAGACAAGCACAGAGAGACAAATACTGCATGCCCTCACTTAATGTGAAATTTTAAAATGATGAATTGACAGAAGAGATTAGAGCAGTGGTTACCAGAGACTGAAATGTAGAAGGATTGGGGAGATTTGGGTCAGAGAATATAAACTTTTGGTTACACAGGAAAAATACATTCTGGTCATTTATTGTACTTCTTGGGGACAAGAATTAATGCCAATCTATTGAATACTTGAAAAAAGTAATAAAATAGTAGATTTTAAGTCTTTTCATCACCCAAAATTATAAGCATATGAGCCCATGGATATGTTAATTACATTGGTGTGTGCATATATAAAAATATGCTTATATAGTATATATTTATACAATAAATATATTTTGTCCCAAAGTAGACAATATATATTATATAAATATATACTATTTTTGTCAATTTAAAAAATGAACAGTTTGCTTGTGGATGATATGAAAGGGCATTTGTCAAAGGGAAGCTTAAAACCATAAAGCTGATCTTATGGGTGATCCATCCTGTCCTAAATATTTTGATACTTCCATCACAAATTATTAGCATACACTGTACTTGAAACTTCTCATTTTGGGGGGAATGTGACTTCAGGGAGTAGAGGAGGTAAAGGTGGGAAGAAGTAAGGTATAACATATAATTGAGCAGAAAATAAAACAAAACAATATGGTACCCAATTTTTTTTTTTTTAAATCGTGTACCTATCTTTACTTGGGCATCAATTTCCCCTTTAGAGAGTGGGTCTGAGTGTGTGCGTGACCCTGGTTCTCCATGTTGTTGCCTTTGCAGCCTTGCTGACAACTTCTCACTGGAGGGCCACTCAACATCCCACATCACGCCGTGTATGAAGAGCAGGCTTTGGTCCCCACCCAACAACATCCTTGCAAAGTGGTTTCTCAAGGTCAGTCTAAACACTTGTAATAACAAAAACTGGTGACCTCATAGAGTAGCCTGTTCTTTTTTTAATAGCCCTAATTATTTGGAAGTTCTCTCATTGAGTAAGAATCTACCTCCCCATAACATCAGCCCATTCCTTAGACATAATATCTTGCCCTCTGAAGCCATAATGTCTGGATTCAGTATGATAACTCATACACTGGTGAAAACAGTGCATTTCCTGTCGTTCTTCCTTTTCTCACTTGGGACAAACATTTTCTATGTCTTTACTAATTTCTTGTGTATCATGGTTCCTGGGTTGTCAAGATCTCTTAAGTGTGTGGTGTCCCAAACTTAGTCCTACTCTGATGTTTAAATAGCAAGTCAGAATGAACCATCCAGTCTTTGTTGTTTTAGACCTTGTGGAGGGCCTAAACATTGTGTTAAACAAGAAGTAAGCTAGGGTTTGGGGCCACAGGAAGATTAGGCAACGCTGATATCTTTTTCTAAAGAGTAATGAAATTTTCTATAGCTCATGAAGGAATCAAAGTATATTCTTGCAGTTCAGTAGTTCTCAAGGTGCAATTTGTAGACCTCAGAGGGTGCATAAGATTGAAACTAAGATCTAGTGGATAAAGAACTGGAGGAAGGGAATCATGGCATGACCAGACCCTGCAGAGGGTGCTTTTTCTTCTCTCTCTTTCTCCTTCTCTGTCTGTCTCACTCACACCCACAGTATCATGAATGAAAGGAAATAAGAAAGAAAGAGTAAGAGAAAGAGCACTGCAGAAAAAAGAAACTAATAGATGAAATTCTCTGAGGCCAGCATGAGCATGGTGAGGTGACAAATGGGTAGAGTCGCAAGGTTTCACAAAAAGAGAGTCATTTGATTAAATTTTAATTTCAGATCGCCATTAGTGTTTTTTTGTGTTAGAACGCCTCGGGATTGGAAGGTGGTGTGTCTTTCTCAAAAGAGAAAGACAAACGATGCTGAAAATAGTGGATATTTATATGCAAAAAAAAAAAAAAAATCTAGACAGAGACCTTACATCTTCCATAGAAATGAACTCAAAATGAATCTCAGACCTAAATATAAACCACAGAATTATACAACTTTCGTAACTTTACATTTAAGAAAATCTAAGTGAGTAATATTAGGTGAATAAAATTAGGTGAATAATATTAAAAACTTTTGCCCTGTGAAAAATGCTACTGTTGAGAGAATACAAAGACAAGTCACAAACTGAGAAAATGTTTGAAAAACATATATCTGATAAGGAATTTTTATCCAAAATGTACAAAGAACTCTAAAAACTCAACAATAAGAAACCAAACAAGCAAAATTAAAAAATATACAAAAGATCTAACATTCACCAGAGATGATATACAGGTGCCAAATAAACACATGAAAAGATTCTTAATATCATATCAAGGAACTGCAAATAACAAACTATGTACCTATTAGAATGGTTAAAATTTGGGACCAGCAGATGGCATAATTGTTATATCACTGGACTCCCACGTAGTTGACCATGGTTTGAGTACCAAACCCATGGCTTAAAACTCATGCCAAATGCGTGTGTATATGTGCCCAAAATCCTGAGAGAAGAATGGAGGAGAAGGGGTTGTGGCATAGTCATCCACCTTGGGTGGTGATTTTCAACTTCTGTCTCTGTCTCTGTCTGTCTCTGCAATGAGTGCATGCACCCTATAGCAAAAATCTCTCTATAAAAGAAAAAAAGGGTTAAAATTTAGAATGCTAGCAAGGATAGAAAATGACAGCAGCTCCCATTCGTGGCTGGTAGGAATGTAAAATGGTACAGCCACTTTGGAAGACAGTTTGACAGTTTCTTACGAAGTTAAATATAATCTTGCCATATGAGCTAGCAGTCATGCTCCCTGCTATAGACTCAAATGAGTTGGAAACTTATGTCTACACAAATACCTGCTCATGAATGTTCACAGAGGCTTTATTTATAATGAAACATAGAAGCAAAAAAGAGAAAGTGAAAGGATAAATGAATGGTGGTACATTCATACAATGAAATATTACTCAGTGACAAGAGGAAACGAACTATTAAGGCTCAGAAAGACATGAAGGAATCTTAAATGCAAGTGAAGGAATCCAGTCTGGAAAGGCTATACGATTCCATCTAAATGACATTCTGGATAAGGCCGGATTCTGGGGACAGTAAAATGACCAGTGATTGTCAGGTGTTGATGAAAAGTGAGAGGGGAGTTCAGTAGGTGAAACATGGAATTGTTAGGGCAGTGAACCTACTTTGTATAACACCATAACCTTCAGAGATGATAAACAAATGTCAATAAGCACAGTATACATTTGCCAAAGCCCACAGAACTATACAACATAGAGTGAATCCTAATGTAAACTGTAGACTTCGGCTGCTAGCATGTTAACATCAGTTCACTGGTTGAGGCAAGTGTGCCACACCAATGCTAAAAGCTGCTCTAAAAATCAGCCTATGGGCCAGCTGGAGGCATAGTGGTTAAGGTGACTGGATCCTATATGGTCAAAGCATGGTTCATGTCCTGGACCTGGTGGCTTGAAATAATCAAAATCTACTAATTGAAAAAAAGTGATTTTAGGGGCCAGCAGGTGGTATGGTAGTTAAGGTTCTTGACTCCCACATGACCTACTGCAGTTGAAACTCTGAGTCTAGTGGCTTGAAAATCACGCTGGGTGCATGTGCATGCATACCCAAAATCCTAGGAGGATAATGGAAGAGAAGGGATTGCAGTATGGCCATCCCCCTGGGAGTGATTTTTCACTTCCCCTCTCTCTGTCTTTATCTTTCTCCAACAAGCTCATGTACCCTATGGCAAAAACCTTTAAAAAAAAAAAAAGTGTTTCTAAACTGAACATCCTCTATGATATTTGGCAACTCTAGGAACAGAGAAAAGGCCACTGTGGCTGGACTTTGGGGTGAGTGAGAGGTGGAGCAGGATGAGGTTAAAGAGGTGGAGAAAGGCTAGGTAACAGAGCACTTTGTATATGAACTCTGTAATCCAGAAGGAATTCTGATTTCATTCGATGTGTAATGAGCTGCATCTGGAAAGATGAGAATTTAAAAATTCTCTGTGGCTGCCATTTGGAGAGTGGATGGCGCCTGGACACCAGAAAACATTCACGAGGCTATTGGTCAGGTCAAGCAGGGCTAATGGTGGCTTATTTGGTGGCAGAAAAGTGGAGAGCTGTGGCCAGATCTCCAAAGTGGGAACAGATGAAAAAGTTTTGTGTAGACTTGGGAGTGGAAAGTGAATAAAAGAGAAAGACAAATACAGTCTTCATAGTTTTGCCTTTGCAACCATCTGTCTGGTAGTACCAGTCACCGATGTAGTAAAGACTAGGTACAAGGAGTCATGAGTTCTTTTCGTCTTTTCTTTTTTTTTAAAGATAGATTTTTGCTATAGGACACATGCGCTCACTGGAGAGACAGAGACAGACAGAGACACAGAAAGCAAGAAATCACCCACTGGGGCAATGGTCATGCTGCAATCCCTTCTCCTCCATTCTCCTCTCGAGATATTTAGCATGCATACACACGCCTGGCATGAGTTTAAAGTCACTGAATCTGGGACTCATACACAGTCAACTACCTGGGAGTCCAGTGGCATAAACATTTGCTGGTCCCCTTTTTGTCCTCCTTAAGTTTTAGGTGCCTATGAAACATCCAAGTGGCGATGTCAATTTCAGGGAGCCGGGGGATGATGCTACTAACTTGTGTTGCAAACAATGGCAAAGGAGCAGTTTGCATGGAGAAAGTTACTAAGTGGGTTTTCCATGTATTGAAATTGAGCCATGTGTGAGAGAGCCAGCTGGATTTCTTGGTCTGAAATTGACAAGAGAAGGCCTGGTCTGGAGTCAGCACCTGGCAGTTGCTGATACTGAGTGAGACTGTCTCCTGAGGCTCCCATATCATGTCACCATTTCTATTCGGCAACACCCGGATGGCTGGCGCGGGGATAAGCACTCTCTCAAGTCTGGCTGTTTCTCGCCCTGATCTATAACCCAGACCTCTTCTTTAGATTCTTACATTTTAAAACTAGGATTCCACTGCATGACACATGGAAGGGGGCAGAGCACAGGGCTCTGACACTGCTTCTCATTTCATTCTCTTTCCCAACTCTCTCTCCCTCTCTTAATCTCAGAGTGCTTTAGTAAGTCAAAGGAGTGGGAAGGGACCCGTTCCGTGTTGTCACTAACTCTCTGTGCCATATTATCAGTGAAATGGAACTTAGAAGTCATTTTGTCTCTAACAGCCTGTCTAAGGACTACTGTCGGTCTGTGACACGGCGCCCATCGAGGGTTGGGGGAACAGAAGTGCAGAACAAGCTGGCGATGTCCAGAAATATGATTTCAGCATGTGTATTTGTTCCTTGCTGTGGGTCCTTCTTCCCCATTCTGTACACGTCTCTACTTCCATCTCTCTAAATAGCAGTCTATTTTATGTCTCAGTGCACTCACAGAATTTCATTTTGGAGAACTCTTTCATCCTTCTTGAGATAGTTTCTCCTCACGGTTCTGAGATGGAGTTTCTAAGGTAAAGATTCTCTAGAAGTGCGATCACAATGAGTAGGGAGTTAAAATCTGGTTTTGTATAATGGCTCATGCTTTTATGAAAATATCGAACCGGACAGTTATCTGGGATCTGTGCAGAGCTATTTATTTTCTAAGTCCTTTCCCCACCAATATTCTTTTTTAGATAGATAGGTAGATAGATACGTTGGTGATAGAGACATAGATTATAAATAGATGGATGGATAGATAGGTGGATAGATGGGTAGATAGATAGATGATAGCTACATAGATGATGGATAGATGGATGGAAGGGTGGATAGACAGATAGAGCTGACAGATGGATAATAGCTAGATAAGCTTCACAGAGTCTCATACCACAACTCTCTCCCAGTCTTTCCCAGCCAACCAGTGCAGCATGTGCACCCCAGAGTATTATAGGTCAACCCAGGGACCAAACTCCGCTCTTTCACATGGCTCCAGCATTA